TAAGTCCAGTTCCAAGGGATCCGACAACCTCCTCTGTCCTCCGCAGGCATTGCACAACACAGGTACACATCCCTACATGCAGGCAATACAGGCATACACATAAAATAAAAATAATAAATAAAAGCCGGATGTGGTGGCGCACGCCTGTAGTCCCAGCACTTGGGAGGCAGAGGCAGGTGGATCTCTGTGAGTTCAAGGCCAGCCTGGTCTACATAGTGAGTTCCAGGAAAGCTGGGGCTACAGGGAGACCCTGCTTCAAAAAGACAAAATTATTAAATAAATAAATAAATAAAAATAATAAATATTTAAAAGCTACCAATTATCCTATCCAAGTAGCTAACAGCCCAGCTTGAGTGTTATCTATCTAAATGTTTCCCTTCCTTAGGCTTCTAGCAAGTTTTGCTTGGAATACAGGGGGAGAAAAAGGTTGCAAAAAGAGGTAGCAAAATTAGTTACTTGGCTTCTTAGCTGTTTTAGTACAGATTTGGCAGGGTTAATATAAATATATGCTTCTTGAACTCTAGGCCAGATGGGGCTACAGAGACCCTGTCTCAAAAAGACCAAAAAATAAAAATATAAAATAAATAAATAAATGCTTCTATGGACGATTCTCTTTCCTTCTTTTTTTCATTTTTCTTTCCAATTCCCCAATCAACACTCATTCCTAACAGCTAAGGGAATATTTTCTTGGGAATTTCCTTAAGCCATCTCTCTCTCTCTCTCTCTCTCTCTCTCTATCTATCTATCTATCATCTATCTTTTTTTTGGTCTTTTTGAGACAGGGTCTCCCTATAGCCCCAGCTGACCTGGAACTCACTATGTAAACCAGGCTGGCCTTGAACTCACAGAGGTCTGCCTGCCTCTGCCTCCCCAGTGCTGGGATTAAAGGCGTGGGCCACCATGCCCGGCCTTTTTTTTTTTTTTAAATAAAGAAAAGCTTTGACCCAGGCCACAAAATCAAATGTAGAAATTTTCTAACACATAGTTCCTAAACACAGTATCTTTTCAAAGCCTAACACATTTGTTTTCCTTCAGGCCAAGACAGTTTTCTCTACTCCAAAGTAAAAACAGACCAAAAGGAAAAAGGTTTTTCTTACTTTGTCTTGTACAGGTGCATAATACCATGAACTATTTCAACTGAAGGATTTCCACTGAAGAATGAAATCTGGTCTGGAAGCTGTTTGGATGGAGAATCTGGAGCTGTGTTTACACAGTCATTTTGATCTCTACTTCTCTGTGCAGTGAGGGAGGCTGCTGAAGACTTCTTTTCTCTCAGTGTATCTTTCAGCTCATCTTTCAACAAAGTGAAAATTAGCAGATTACAAACAGCTGGAAATTTGCTGAAGAAACCTAATTTAAAATTTCAAGCCAGAACAGTAAATTCTGACAGAGAAACTATTGTGTACTGCATTAAGAACTATATTCATTTTGGATATGGTAGCTCACACCTATAATCTTGGCATTCAGAGGCTGAGGCAAGAAGATTGTGTTAAGTCCCAGGCCAGTCTGGGCTACTGGGCTGGGTAATAGTATGAGACTATCTCAAAAACAACAAGCAAACTATAATCACAGAACAGCTGAGTTTGAGGACATCTCAGCTTTAAAATCCTCTTTGCCCTACAAAACTCTTCCAATACCATCATAAAAATCTCTTACCACTCTCAAAAACTCAAGAAGGCTCTTACCACATCCAGTAGCACCACAACGCAAGCAGGTATCGTTCATCACGTGCTCCTCAGTGAGACAAACATTCAGAGCCATCTAAAAACTAAACCTTCCAGTTCTGACCACACCTATGCTGGAGATGCAGAACCTATCCATTCCCTCCACTGAGTAAGCTGGCAGAGCAGGGGGAGGCACAGCAGGCTTACCCGGATGTACTGTTGACCTGGTGCTGACTTAAATGGTAAGGAGTATTCCCCTACCAAAAAGAGTTGCAAATCTACTTTGTTACAATTCATTAATCGATATTTATTTTTTTGAGATAGCTGTACTGCCTAGCTGTCTCCAAACCTCAGGGCTAATTGACCCTCATGCCTTAGCCTCCTGAGTAGCTGGGAATAAAGGTCTGCACAACTGCACCCAGTTTTAGAACTATTTAGAAAAGAAAATTAAAGACACTGCAACGTGGCTTAATGAGCTCACGGAAAGCATACTAAGCAGTGAGAGATAAAAGTATGCTAGAGATGACGCTCAGCTGGAAGACTGCTTGCCTACATGTATGAGGCCTTGGGTACGAGTCCTGACTGGGACTGGATGGGGTGGTGCACACATGTAATACCAATACTCAGAAGGTGAAGGCAGCAGGATCAGAAGTTCAAGGTTATCCTCAGCCAGTCTGTGCTAAATAAGATCCTATCTCAAAAACAAATGAACAATACACATACATACATACATACACATTAGGTCAAAATAATGGGCTCATTGAACACCACACAAAAATCAGGTAGCCATGGGCTCATAGTACAAAAGTGAGGCCAGGCTTTCTGGAAGCATACCTGGGCCGGCCTTCATGGTCTCAATGATCACATCTGTCATTTCCCGACGGCCAAGGTGTTGGTGGATGAGTGCTGCTTTCTCCCCTGGTGACTTCCCTTCTAAACAGGCCACAGCTGAAGCGAGAGTCTTCTTTTTGATCTCCTCATCAGACATCTCCCTGGCTGGAGAACACATGAATGATTAATATCTGATGATAAAACAAGTTCCTCTCCATTTTCCATGTTCCAATCAATAGGTTTCCTTTTTCTCTGCTGTCCTTCCCCAAGATGGGTGAGAAGATGCCTTTGTAGTATCCACCTCAGCGGCCTCTACCGCTCCTGCAGTGCCCTCAGGAAATGGTCAATAGAAGCAAGTACAATACACTCAGAAATGCAGAGCTGTTCTAGTGAAATTATGTACTTGAAACAAACCAACAAGAACAAAAAACTAAGTTTCATAGTGATTATACCCAGATGAACTAACATGAGTTGTAGTGATACACTGAGCCCTGAATGCAAGTATCACAAATAAACACTATTTCAAAAACTGTGACAGGCCATCTTCTTAAACATCCAGGGGCTACCTGTGTGCTGCATGGATCAAGCTATGAAAATCTGTGACTTCTATCTTCAATGAAAATACACAAAAGGGAAAAGAAACTTGATGACTTGATTAAAATACCCTCAATACAAGCTCTGTCAGAGCAGACACCAGGCTTGCCTTGCCCAGCACTCGTACCACACAATCCAGCATACTGTGGAAGCCCTCTAAACATTTGTTGGATAAATGACTCCACAACTGACTCATGAAGATATGTGTATGTGCCTAATGCCAAATTAATTGATTTTCAGAACTAAGGGTTACTTTCAGCCCTTGGAAGGTACTTGAACCTTGAATTAAACCATACTCATTAGAGTCCAAAATGGACAACATAGCAAGATCATAGTCACTCTTCCATCGAAGCTCCAAAGGCCAGACTTAGAAATTGTCCCATGATGCCATTCCTCCTTGTCCCAGCCCCTCTCCAAACCAAACGGGTCTTCTTGGTAAGTGTACCTGTTTCTCCTTTCCTTATAACACTTATCATAAGGTAATCCTCCATTTATTCTGAACTCACCTGTCTCTTCCACTGAACTGCTGGTCCCCAAAAGCAGAGACCATGTCTAATTCTGTGCATGACAAAGCAGACAGATACCAAATAATCCATTTCTCTCTCTCCCACTCCCCTTCCCCGCCCTCTCTCCTTCCCTCTCTTTCTTCTTCCTGTTGAGGGTTTCATGTGATCCAGACTGGCTTGAAACTCGCTGATCCTCCACCTCCAGAGTCTATAAACACCTCCTGAATGAATGCTATTAGATAATGTTTTGAAGACCACGGGCGAGTCCTAGCTGCATTCCCTGCTAAGGAACTCTGTGGCTGGTGGTGAAGGCATCAGATCCTCAGGCCCAACTGGGTTAGAATCCCAGCTTCCAACCTCTCACAGGTAACTTTGGGCAAATCATTTCATCACAGGCCTGTTTTCCAACGTGCATCAGGCGCACAGTATCAACCTACTTCACAGGGCTGCGAGGTGCTGGGGTGCACGACGTGTGTTCACTTTCTTTCTTATGCTTACTCTTACGAAGGTCTGGAACCCGGGCCCGGCCTCCACCAAGCTGCTTAGACCCCACGCCCTGCCTTCCCGAGGCTAGGGACACTCAGGCTGCGGAGCGGAGAGGCCGCAAAGGGCCAGCAGCGGGGCGGAAGGGGCTGGGAGGGCTTGGCGGAGAGCAGGCCCTGGGGGACGCGTGGGCCGGGGGCTCCGCACCGCCGCGGCCAGTCCCCGCCGGCCATTCGAGAGGCCGAGCAGGGGCCGCGGGACTCACCAGCCGCGCTGAAGCCGAAGTCGGCGGGGACGGGCGAATGTTCCGCGAGCTCCAGTCGGATGACAACCAGTGACACACTCATAGGGCAGGCACTGGCCGGCGCGGGCCCCGGCGGGCTCAGTGGAGGCTGCGGGATGAGCCCAGAGGCCGAGCAGCCCTGGGTCTGCAGCGCCGCCACTGCCTCAGTGCCGCGGACGCCGCCTCAGCAGCGACAGCCCTAGCGCGCCCGGCCGAGCCACAACAGCCTCCACTTCCGGCTCCCGGTCACCGTCAGCTACGCCCAGCTGCCCGGGGTCACGCATGCGCGCGAGCACGTGCCGATGGGGGCGGGGCGTGCTGCGAGGCTGCGAGTGGAGTAGGTCTCTAGTCCCGGCTGCGGGTCCTGCGTGGGATTGCCCTCAGGTTCCGGCCGCTCTGGGCTGACAGATCTGACATCTCTGAATTCTAGGAGCCCGTGCTGAGCGTTCTGGCTTCTTTTTGGGTTTGTCTCGCCACTTGAGCTAGGTACGCCGAGGCTGGGAGAAGTGCAGATGGTTCTCTGAGCTCGTGGGTGCTCGATCCCATGGTGTCTGACTTTATAAAGGCAGGGCGATGGGTCCGTCCCAGTAACCCACCTTGTGGCTTCATGAATGTTAACCGAGCGCCTAGACACTGCTGGGGTGCTTGGGCAAAGAGTTAACACAGTCGACCTTCAGTACTTGTGCAATCTTGACGTTGAGTAATACTACACGTCTATGAAATTAAATGTGCGTTAGGATAAGCATTATTTCTGCTGTCAGACTGCCTTCAGCTTGTAATTTTCAAATTTAATTTCCATTTGGTTTTCAGGTGGGGTTCTCGTGTAGCCCAAGCTGGCCTCAAACTCCTTATGTAGCCAGTTATGACCTTGAACTTCTCCTTGAACGTCCTGCCTCTGCTTCCCAAGTGCTGGGATTACAAGCATTCACCACCGTGACTGACTGTAGTATACAGACTTTGACCGACACAATCAGACATGCGTGGTGAGCCACGACTGTAATCCTGGAACTTGGGAGGCTCAGGCAGGAAGAGCTTGAGTTTGAGGCCAACCTGGGCTACATGGTGAGACTGTCTCAAAAACTAAGATCTGGGGGTTGGTGAGATGGCACAGAAGGTAGAGGTACTTGTGTTTGGGATTCAGGACCTGAGTTCAATTCCCAGATCCCACGAGGTGGCAGGAGAGAACCCACCCGAGAGTTTTACTCTGAGCTCCACACAGAGACCATGTGCAATTTGAACATACTAAGCTACATGTTCTACTGTTAAAGGACACCCTCAGCCCAAGTGATAGGTGACTTTTAATGGTGTACCAGGTACTAACCTGAGAGCTTTACATTCTTTATCTCATGCAATGGTGATATTTTTATGAAATAGGTGCTATAATTGTCTCCGTTTTACGGAGGAACAACCTAAGGCTCAGAGAGAATAATGTGCCCAGGATCTCACCTTAATAAGTAGGAGAGTCTGAATTTGAAGCCATTCATCTCAGAGCCAAAACTGGTAATGTCTTTGCTAAATCATCTCCTTAATATAACAATACACTGTGTGCACATATTTCTGAAATTAGAATTTAGGTAACTAGTCTACATTATTCTAACCTCATGATTCTGATTGACAAGGAGAAAACAAATACTCTTTGTGAGATAGAAGATGCCAGTTCTAGAGAACTAGAATCATTAGCCAGAAATGGGCAAGTGTGGCTCTTTGAGACTGTTAACAACTTAAGAGTGTCCTAGCTTTTCCCTCCCTGAATCATTCCTTCCCAATCCCTTTTCTTGCTGTATAGCCCAGGCTGACTTGGATTCAAGGTCATTCTACCTCTACTTCCCTGTACTGGGATTACAGGCATGTATCACACCTTGCTCCTATTTTTTGATATATCAGTTTATTCATCCATACAATTCATTTAGTCTGAGAAACCACTGTCTCTAGAAACAGGATCTGGTCCCAGGGGGTGGATACCTAAAAGATGACTAAGATAGTCCTTCCTTAAAGGAGCTACTACTATAGGGACAGATGGACATGGGAGCAATTACTGTGTAATGGAGACAATACTCCACTAAAAGTATGAGAAGGAGCAGTGGGGAGAAACAACACAAACACACACCCAAACTGCCATAGTCTGTTTGGGAACAGAAAGAAGAGCGATAGAGAATATAAAGCCTCGGTTGAGATGTAAGAGTGAATGGAAAGTCAACAGACAAGATGAAATTGGGGAAAAGGTTACAGTCCAGGAACACAGCAGGTACCAAGACCCAGGAGGGATGAGGGCTAGAACATTGACAGGCTCTGAAGAGCGTGTTGGGAAGTGGCTCTAAAACCATCATCCATGATGGAGATATGGTTCCATTGGTGGGGTGCTTGCCTAGTATGTGCAAAGCCTTGGGTTCTGTCCCCAACAACACATAAACTGCAAGTGATAGCATTAACTAGAAGTGGTGGTGTAAGCCTGTAATCTCAGCCTATTCATAAATTCCTGTGTCTGTCATAAACTTTGGCTTTGGCATAAGTACAACTGAAAATGCAGATTAGCTTTGAAGTGATCCCAGTTCAGCAAAGCTTCCTTTTGTTATCTAATAAGTCTTGTCATTTTCAGCCGGGCGTGGTTGCGCATGCCTTTAATCCCAGCACTTGGGAGGCAGAGGCAGGCGGATGCAGACTGGTCTACATAGTGAGTTCCAGGACAGCTGGGGCTACAAGGAGACCCTGTCTCAAAAAAAAAAAAGACAAAAAAAAATTAAAAATAAGTCATGTCATTTTCAAGTTATACTAAATAATCTTTTTTTAAAGAATTAGAGAGGTAGTTCAGTGGTTAAGAACACTTGCTGTTCTTACAGAGGCCCTGGTTTGGTTCCCAACACCACAAGGTAGCTAATACCTTTCTATAACTCCAATTCTAGGAATTCAATTCCTTCTGGCCTCCATTGGCACTGCACACACATGGTAAACATACACACATACAAGCAAACACTCATACATATAAAATAAAAATAAATCTTTTTTGTTCGTTTTTGGTTTTTTTGAGACAGGGTGTCCCTGTAATCCCAATCTGGCCTGAAACTTGATCTGGCCTCCATCTCACAGAGATCTGTCTGTCTCTGCCTCCCAAGTGCTGGGATTAAAGGCATGTGCCACCACACCAAGCAAAATAAATCTTGAAAAAATAAGTAAAGACTCTTTAGAGCTAGGTGTGGTCATGTGTGCCGTAATCACAGTACTCTAGAGGCAGAGACAGACAGATCTCTGTGAGTTCAAGACCACCCTGGTCTACACATAAAGTTCTAGGCCAGCTGGGTCTACAGGGAGACCCTGTCTCAAAAGCAAAGTTTTTGTTATTATTGTATGTGTATACATACGTACATGTGCACACATATGGAGGTTAGAGACCAACTTTGGGTTGTTTCACTCCCAGAACTTGAAGTTTAGGTGAGTTGCAAGGATTGAGTTCAAGTTAAAATATTGCACATCAAGTGCTTTTACCTGCAGAATCATCTTAGTGAGTCCTTTAAACCAGGTTCCCCTTGAAGACAACAGGGAGCTACTGAAGTTTTTATTATATGTTTAATAGGGGATTGAACCCAGGACTTACCCATGCCAAGCAAGTGTTCTACCCTTAAGGCACATCTCCACCCCTTCTTTTACCTTTTTTTTTTTTTTTTTTTTTTTGAGATCAAGTGTGATGATTAATTTAGGTTTTCAGCTTGATTAGAGATATTCCTGATTTCTGATGCTTAAGAAATCCTTAGCAGTCAGTAAAGGAGACCTCTGGATTTGGGCTGTGGGGGGTGTCCAGAGACAGCTTCTGAGGGCTCTGACCTAATCAGTGGGTTAATCATGTGGTAAGTACATAATGCCATGGCAGTTTTGAAACGGGTCAAGCATGGGAGGTGGGGCCCAGTTAGAGGAAGCAGGTCATTGGATATATGCCTTAGAATCTTGTCCTGGTCTCTTCCTGGATTCCCTCTCTCTGCTTCCTAGGTGGCCATGAAGTGCATAGCTGCCACACTTCCTGACACCATTATGTTTTGGCCAAGTGCCTGGAGTCAAGCAGCCACAAACTGAGCTCTCTGAAACTGTGAGCAGAATAAATTCCCTTGTGCTGCTTCTTTCAGGTGTTACTGGGTCACAGCAATGACAAAAGTTACTAATACATAGGGTCTCCTTAAGTCACTGAGACTGGCCTGGAACATGTCAGTCCTTTTGCCTGTGCATTCCCCAAAGCCGGTTTCCAGCATGAGCCACCATACCCTGCTTCCATTGAAGGTTTTAAATGGGGTTGAAGATGGGATCACATTTGCAGTTTGGAATGATTATTCTGGCTGATAAACGAAGAAGGCTGAATGGAAGTTTGAGAAGAAATAAGGGATCATCAGGGGTCCCTGGACAGAAACAACAGCAGTAAAAAAGAAAGGAGGGAGATAGAAAAGCAAAGGAAGCCGGGCTTGGTGGTGCACGCCTGTAGTCCCAGCACTTGGGAGGCAGAGGCAGGCAGATCTCTGTGAGTTCAAGGCCACCCTGGTCTACATAGTGAGTTCCAGGACAGCTGGGGCTACAGGGAGACCCTGTCTCAAAAAGACCAAAAAAAAAAAGAAAGAAAGAAAGAAAGGAAGAAAGAAAGAAAGAAAGAAAGAAAGAAAGAAAGAAAGAAAGAAAGAAAGAAAGAAAGAAAGAAAGAAAAAGGAGCTGAAGCAGCTGAGTCGGGATTTAGGAAAGTCGGGGCTTGAGTGTGGTGGTACATGCCTTTAGTCTAGTTGAGGGGTCAGGGATGAAGGAGCATTTAGTGAACAGTCAGGGTCAAGATGCTGAGCCAGCTATGGATGTGGTTTGAAGTGTTTGTTGAGCATTAGCGGAGATGTGAAAATGGCTCTGAAATGGAGCCCTGGATAGAGGCAGTGAGGTCACGCTGACTGGGTGCTCTCTCACACAGCCTCAGCTACGACATGTGCATAAGGAGGCTTTTACACCCGTCCTCTCTCCACTGGGCATGGAGGACCACTGTCCTGAAAGGCACCTGGAGAAGGCAGCAGGGAACTCACTGCTGGAAGCGTTCTGGAGGTAGCACTTACAGAGCTGTCATTTTTGACATGGGTGGAGTTCTCATTCCTTCTCCAGGGACAGTGGCTGCTGGTGAGCTCTTTACTGTTTCACTTTTGGAGACTGGGGTGGGGGTGGGAAAATGGAGGGTGATAGGGGAAACTGAGGAAAACATCAGGCAACAGTGCATCCCAGTGCCTGGCCCTTGAGTTAAATTCTAAGCCATGCTTAATGGCAGATTGTTTGGGGAAAATTATTCAACTTCTCTGAGATGTGCTTTTCTCATCATAAAATTAGGATTAATAATAGAGCCTCCTTCTTTGGGATTTGGGGGAGAATTAAATGAAATGATCCATAGAAAGTCTTGGGGATGTGGCTTAGTTGGTAGAATGCTTGACTAGCATGCACAAAGCCCTGGGTTCAATCCCTGTCACTTCATAAACTAGTTGTGGTGATGCACATCCATTACCCCAACATTTGGGAAGCTGAGGCAAAAGGATCAGGTGTTCAAGGTCATCCTCAGCTATGCAGCAAGCGCTACATGAAACTTTCAAAAAATAAATAGCACAAGAAGCTTTTCTCGTCTTCCTGGCTGCTCTATGAGCTTCTCTCTACTTTGCCATGCCTTCCTGTCCATGATGAACTGAATCCTTGGGAACTGTGAGCCCGAATAAGCCTTTCCTTCCTTAAAAATAAACAACACACAAGAAAACACAGATGACCTTTTCATTCATAACAGTAACAAAAATGAAGATGACTGAGCACATCCTTGCGTTCCTTGCAGCCTGTGCTCAAATATTTGATGTACTCTGGATTTTTATTTTTATTTTTATTTTTTTAAGATTGAGACAGGGTCTCACTATACAACCCGTATAACCCTAGTTGGCCTGGAACTTGTGTGCCATCACACCTGGTGATGCTCTAGAGTTTTTGTCACATACGCTCTTACTTTATTGTGAGCTAATAGCTTAACTCAAGGACTGACAAACTTTTACAAAAAGGAGCCAAGGGGTAAAAATTATAGGGTTTGAAGGATATAAGGTCCCTGTGAAACTACCAAATACTGTCATTACAGGGCCAAAACAGCCAGGGATGATTGAAAGGAAGGGGCATGGCTGAGTTCTAAAAGAACTTTGTCCTGGCAAGGTGTGGTGGCACATGCCTTTAGTCTCAGCACTTAGGAGGCAGAGGCAGATATAGCTCTGTGAGTTTAAGGCCAGCCTGGTCTACATACTGAGTTCCAGGATAGCCAGGGCTGAATAGCAAGACCCTGTCTCAAGGCAAAACAAAGCAAGCAAACAAACAAAAACCACTTCGAAGTATCCTTATAGATGCTGAATTGGAATGTCATGTAATTTCCATGTGTGACAAAATACTATTTTTGTTTTGACATTTTTTAATTTCTTCAGAAGGTAAAGCCTTTTTTGGCTGACAGGCCATACAGAACCCAACAGTAGGCTAGATTTAATCCACAAGCTATGGTTGACTAAGCCCTGGCTCAAACATAAAAATTATGAAGTGTATGGGAATATAATACTTGAGCTGGGGAGACAGCTTGGTGGTAGTTGCTTGCCTAGCATGCACAAAGACCCTGATTCCATCCCCAGCACTGCAAGAAAGAAATAAGAGAGAAAGAGAGAGAGGACCTAATGCCACAGAGCTGCTTCTTGACCACCTACCACATACTTAGGTTTACATGAGTGAGAGAAATAAACATCTATCTTCTTTTAGTCCCTATTTCCTACTTTGTTATAATTTCTAATCTTAGAGATAAAACTAATTGAATTAGTTTAAGTTGAACTGAGTCAGGAAAGAAGCAAACCTGGGCTGGAGATGTAGCTCTAATGTACAACTTCTGCTTGACCTGTGCCGAGGTGACAAGTATATGCCACCGTGTCAGTGTTCTGTGTTACTTTAATATTCAGTTTTCTCTAGTTGCCTTTTTTTTTTGTATGTTGGTTACTTAGTTTTCTCTTTCTGTATAAATTTCTCGTTTCTTACTGATTTGCAATGATGAACTATCATCTGTTATATTGTTTGCAAATATTTTCTCCCTCCTGTGGAACATCCTTTAATTTTATAGTTTTCAGGGTTTTTTTGTTTTGTTTTGTTTTTTGAGAGAGGATGTTGAAATGTTATGTAGCCTAGGCTGGCGTCAAACCCTTGATCTTCCTGCCTCTGCTTCCTGGGTGCTGGTATGTAATAATTTTTGTCATACTGAAACTTGCATTCTTTTATAGCATTAGAACCACTTGTTTTTTTGTTTTCTTTTGTTTTAATATTTTATTTATTATTTCTATTTTAGTGTATGAGTGTATTGCCTGCATGTGTGTAAGTGCATACATGTTGTGCAAGGCCTGAGGAGGTCAGAAACAAGTGTTGGATTCCCCTGAAACTGGAATTACAGATGGTTGTTAGCTGCCATGTGAGTGCTGGGAATTGAACCTGGGTCCTCTGCAAGAACAACCAGTGCTCTTAACTGATGAGCCATCTCTCCAGGCCATTGTTTTTTTTCTTTATAGTTTGAGCTTCTTGAGTCTTGGTTAGGAAATTCTTTTTGGGGGGCTGGACATGGTGGCACATGCCTTTAATCCCGGCACTTGGGAGACAGAGCCAGGCAGATCTCTGTGAAATCAAGGGCAGCCTACAAGGTGAGTACCTAGGCCAGCAGGGACCACAGAGAGACCTTGTCTCAAAAAACCCAAACAAAACCAAAACAAAACAAAAAAGGAAGAAAAAGAAATTCCTTGTGGGACTGGATAAATGGCTCAGCCACTTTGAGTGCTTCCAGCTTTTCCAGTTTGATTCTTAGCACCTACATCAGGCAATACACGCAATTACAACTGCCTGTAACTTCAGTTCCAGGGGATCTGATGCCCTCTTCTGGCCTCTATAGGCCCTCACATGCATGTGGTACATATAAACTCCTGCAGGTGCACACACATACACATTAAAAAAAAAAAAGAAATCTTATCCGGGAGTGGTACACACCTTTAATCCAGCACTTGGGAGGCAGAGGCAGGCAAATCTCTCTGAGTTTGAGGCCAGCCTGGTCTCCATAGTGAATCCAGGCTAGCTGTGGCTACAGGGAGACCATGCCTCAAAAAAACAAAACAAAACAAAACAAAACAAAACAAAACAAAGAAAGAAAGAAAGAAAGAAAGAAAGAAAGAAAGAAAGAAAGAAAGAAAGAAAGATAGAAAGTCCTTTCCTAGCTGGATGTGGTGGTGCACACCTATAATCCTAACACTTGTGAGACTGAGGCAGGAGGATCACCAAGAGTTCAAAGCCAGCTTGGGCTACAGACCTAGTTGTACCAACCTCATTTATTGACCAGTCGGGGCTAAAAGAATATAAATGCAGGGCCTGGAGAGAGAGCTCAGAAGAGAAGGTGCTTGCTCATAGGCATAAGGACCTGAGGTCAGTCCCCATGTGGTACTGTGCATGTGCAATCCTAGCACTGGGGAGGCAGAGTCAAGGAACATCTCTGGGCCTTGCTGCCCAGACAGTCTAGACTCATTGCTGAACCGCATTCCTGAGGATGACATTAGAGGTTGTCCTCCAGTCTTCACCCACATGCATGCGTGCACATACATGCAAAATATAATAAAAGAATGTAATGCAAAGAAAACTTCCTGCTGCACTGTACCATTCCAGTATATTCCACCCTTCTGTGGCTAGTTATCATTGTGAGAAGTTTCTTGTTTATCCTATAAAACATTGTCTCTTTATCAGTATCCATCGATGCCTGAAGGTGTGTGTATAAAACATGTATATGTCCATACGTAAATTAGATCATCTTATACAGATGTATGTATTATTTCTGACCTAGTAGGATATTTTGCAACTGTTTTTGTGGTGCTGAGGATCTAACCAGGGCCTTGTACATGCTAAGCACACGCTCTACTGCTGAGCACCCCAGTCCTTTTCCTCATATTTCATGTTAGTAGCCATCAATTTAGTTGAAGGGTTAGGAAGATTTTTCTATAAGGACTATGTAGGGTTTTTAGAAATATTTATTTTATGTGCATGAGTTTTTTTTGTTTAGACAGGGTCTCCCTGTAGTCTCTGCTGGCCTGAAACTCACTATGTAAACCAGGCTGGCCTCACTCACAAAGCCTCTGCCTCTTAAGTCCTGGAATTAAAAGCATATGCCACACACCCAGTTGATGTATGAGGGTTTTGCCTGAATATATATGTGCAGTGCCTGTGAAGGCTACAAGAGGGTGTCAAACTCCCTGGAACTGGAGTTATGGATGGTTGTTAGCTGCCGTGCAGGTGCTGGGAACTGAACTTGGGTCCTCTGAAAGAGCAGCCAGGGCTCTTAACTGCTGAACCATTTCTCAAGGCCCCAAATAAAATATTTTTAAAAATTAAAAATATAAAAGAAATTTAAATCTTAAAAAAAAGAAACCAATAGGGCATGGTGGCATGCACCTTTACCTTTAATGCCAGAACTTGAGAGGCAGAGGCAGGTAGATCTCTATGAGTTCAAGGCCAGCCTCATCTACATAGTGAGCTCCAGGCCAGCTGGGGCTACAGGGAGACCCTGTCTCAAAAATAAAAAAAAAAAGAAAGAAAAACCACATACAACAGTTTCTGATATAATGTGTGAATTGCAGAAAAGTCACAAGCCTCATTAGGGAAAGCTGTAAATCCCTTAAAGTATCTAACTGGCCCTAAATTGGCAGCCTGGCCTTGCTCAAGCCTTATCAACTGGTCACTCCTTGGACTGAGAGACAGACTGTTTATGGAGCCCACCTGTCTCCTTTAGTGCCATAGATAACTAACTCATTTGCCTGTCTGAGAAAAGAGACCCTCAAGGACACCAAATCCGGGCACTAATTCAACTCCCCACAAAGTGTAGCTGTATCTCACCAACCCTGGTATAACCCCCCGACACCACCCCCGTTTTCTTTGTCTAGTTGTAGATGCCTGGTTCCAAGGACAGCCTCTACCTCTCACTGTATCTTCTTTGCATAAAGGAAGATGTATTCCTTGCCTGTTGCAGGTCTGGCTCTGGTTTCTTGTCTCCTACTCCTCTTTCTTTCCTTTCATTCTCCAAAAATCTAACAATCTCACCTCTGGATATCAAAGTGAGAATTTACATTTTGTGCAGAATTCCCAGTAGTACCCATGACCACCTCAGTGATGCCACAGGACCTGGGGGGTCATTCCCTGAGCTTCCCAAGCACCAGCCGTTTGTTGATGTTCTTCACTCTTATTATTATTATTATTATTATTATTATTATTATTATTTATTCTTATGAGTGTTATGCCTGCATGTATGTAAATTCACCTATGTTGTACAGTGCCCATGGACGTCAGAAGAAGGTGTTGGATCCCTTGGAACTGGAGTTACCAACGGTTGTTAGCAGCCATGTGGATGCTGGGAATCGAACCCTGATCTTCTGCAAGAGCAGCCAGTGCCCTTGACCACTGAGCCATCTCTCCAGCCCCTGATGTTCTTCACCCTTGTATATGTTACTTCCTATAGGTTGGGAGGTACAGAATCATATCCCTTCTGGAACTATATTGAAGGCCTTGACCAAAGATGGTGAAAATGGACCCTGGATGAGATTTATGAGAGGAGAGATGACAACAGAGGGTTTCTTAGAAGAATTTGAGAGACTTTGCTCTGAAATAGTGAGTGAGAAGCATCATTTTCTTGATTATTTTCTTTTGGGGGAGGGATTTAAACAAGGTCTCATGTAGCCACACTAACGAACTTGCTATGTAGCTGAAGATGACCTTGAATTCCTGACCTCTCAAGTTCTCAGAGTACAGGTGTGAGACACCATGCCTAATTTTTTTCATATTTTTCATTTTGCCTTGAATAGTGGTAACATTTATCCATAAGATGATTTAAATGAAAATAAAATGAAAACCTAACAGCCTATTATATCTTTTTAAGTTATTTATTTCATGCTTCAGTTCTCAATTTTAAATTTATGTATGAATAAATAACTGTGTTCTTTCCTGTAAGTCTCTACAACAGATTCTGAAACATGAGCCCTCACCATCATGGCCTTGATCCAAAGCTTATTAAATCAATAATAATGTTTACCATTTCTCTCTGCTATGCATTCTTCTGAGCCTTTTACTTAAAATACCTTATCTAATCTTCATAATTCCACTAAAATATAATTTAAGGTATAGTAATAAGTTCTATGGAAGGATGTTATGATGGTACACAACAATGCAACTGTATTTAATGCCACTGAATTCTGTGCTTAAAAATGATTACAATGCTGGGGCTGGAGAGATGGCTCAGCAGTTAAGAGCACTGCCTGCTCTTGCAGAGGACCCAGGTTCGATTCCTAGCACCCACATGGTGGCTACGAACCATCCTTAACTCCAGTTCCAGGGGAATCTGAAGCCCTTTTCTGACCTCCGCAGTATTGCACAACATGGATGCATTCACAATACACTCCTACACATAAAATAAAAATAATAAAATATTTTTTTAAATGCTTACGATGCATGTAACTACTGGAATGGAGCCAGCAAGATGGCTCAGTGATAAAGGTGCTTATAGCCAAGGCTGACAGCTGGGTTCAGTACTGAGAAACCAAGTGGTTGAAGGAGAAAACTGACCCTTTCAAGTTGTCTCCACAGGTGCACCATGGTACACACATCTCTCCCCTCCCAAATAGATCAGTAATTAAATGTTAAAAAAAAGACTTTAAACACTCAAGCCAACACTTGGGTTTGTTTGAGTGGCTACCTTAATCTAGCTGTGCAACGTTTTTATTTGTGAGTTAATTACAGTAAAATGATTTTATTTAATTTTTACAAATCATTTAGCCAGACACACCTTTAGTTCTAGCACTCAGGAGCCAAAGACAGGCATACTCTGCGAGATGGAGGCCAGTGAGCTCTAGGCCACCTGGGGCTACAGGGAGACCCCATCTCAAAAACAATAAAGCATTTAAAAGGCAAAAAAAGCTTTAAAATTGTTATGATGATAAATTTTGTTATATATATTTTTTCACAACAACAAAAAATATGGGCCTGCAGGATAGCTGAATGGGTAAAGGTGTCTGCCTGATAGCATGAATTCAAACCCTGGGAACCACATGGTGGAGAACTGACTCCTATGAGTTGTTTTCTAACTTCCATGCACTCCACAGCACATGTGCAGCCACATACATGAACACACATAAGTAAACAAATAGATAAATAAATGTAAATTTTAAAATAGTAAAAACAACAGCAAAAAAAGTTTTTTTTCTAATACATGGTCTCACTGTGTAGACCAAGCTGGCCTTGAACTCACAGAGGTCCACTTGCCTCTGCCCCAAGTGCTGAGATTGAAGGTGGGTACCACCATTCTGGGCGCAATAGTAAATCTTGAAAACAGTATGCCAACTAGCCACAAAAGTAACAAATTGTGTGATTCTGTTATGTGAGGTGCCCATAATACTCAAAGTGGATTAGTGGTTTTCTAGGATGGGGATGTTGACAGAAAATGAGGAGAGATTGCTAATTAGTTTGGTTTCTCCTTAGCGTAGTAATGTGCTCTAATTTATGGTGATGGTTACAAAACTTTGATAATATATTAGATATATTTATTTTTAATTATGTGTATGGGTTTGTATACATGAGTGCAGGTGCCCAAGGAGGCAAGAAGAGGATATTGGATCCCCTGGAGCTGGGGCTACAGGCAGTTGTGAGCTGCCTGATGTGGGTACTTGGAGCTGGACTCAGAGCAATATATGCTCTTAACTACTGAGCCATCTTCAGCCCAATTTTATGAATGTATAATAACTATTAGCTGGATATACCTCTAATCCTAGCACTCAAGAGGATCACGAGGAGATTGAGGCTGTCCAGGGCTACATAGTGAATTGGAGGCCAGATTGTTACATCAAAACAAAGAAGAGCCTGCACATTTTAACTAGGAGACTGTGTAGTGTTAATTTACATTTCAGTAAAGCTGTTAAAAATCTCTGTGGACCTATCAAATACCAGATTTGCATTTCAGATTTCAAAACATGTTGTGTTCTAACCCCACACAGATTGGAATTAAAAACAAAATTGGTCAGAATTAAAGCTCATAAAGCTGATGCCAAGGACAACACAAAATCATGAAATACTTTCTAAAGCATTAACAACAGACTACATCTGCTTAACATGCTTTAAAATTTTAAGTATCCTCTTGTGGTGATCTAAAAGTGGAATAAAGAACTCAGGTAACTGTAGTAGGGACCTGTCCCTGGCTGTGTTCCCCAGCCATTCTAATGCTTAACTCCAAGTCACAGGGTTTTATTGGGTTTTGTTTATTTGTTTGCTTGCTTATTTGCTTATTTTTCTGGTTTTGTTTTTGTTGTTTGAAGTGGGGTTTGAGACAGGGTTTCTCTGTATATTCCAGGCTAATAGAACTTGACCTTCTACCTCCACCTCCCAGTGCTGGAATTAAAGCCTGGTTTCTATATTAGTTCTTAAAAACTGACATATACCCAAGCACAATGCCATCTACCTGTTGCCCCACTCAGGAGGCTGAGGAAGGAAGATCACTTGAGCCCAGGAGTTTGGGGCTATTCTGGTCAATCTAATGAGAAATAATCCCAAAATATAAACAAAAACCCCATAGTCACATGTAGAGTTCAGCTCATGGGCAGCAAGCCAATATGGGCTCTTAAAACCAGGGGCAACAGTAAGATGCTGGGAATGGGGTTTTCTTGTAGACTGTGAGACACCTCACTCTCATGACTGTGGTTTTCCTGTCTCTTCTCTTGGTCATAGGCAAAGACCTCTGTGCCTGTGGACTCATTTTTCTCTCTGCTGACCAGTGAGCAAGTGGCAAAGCAGTTCCCTGTGATGACCCAGGCCATCTCCCAAATCCGGGCAAAAGGCCTTCAAACTGCAGTATTGAGCAATAATTTTTGTCTTTCTAATGGGAAAAGTTTTTTGCCCCTGGACCGGAAACAGTTTGATGTGGTAAGCATGAGGTGATCAATGTGATAGAAATAGCCTTGGTCCCCCATGTCAGGAGCTGGAACAAAGCATCTACACTAGACAAAGAAAACGGGGGGGGGGGGTTATACCAGGGTTGTGGGACACAGCTGCATTTAGTAGGGAGTTGAGTTAGTGCCCGAGCTTAGCGTCCTTGGAGTGATTGAGGGTCTTCTTCTCAAGATTATTTCCCCAGAAACTGGCAGGAGTGTTTTCTATGGCCCTAGAGGAGACAGGTAGGCTCCACAAACACTTTCTCTCAGGTTTGGGAGTGTTCACATGATAAGGGGTGAGCAGAGACAGACTTGGGCAAGACCAGGCTGCCAATTTAGGTCCAGTTAGACACTTTAAGGGATTTATGGCTTTCCCTAATGAGGCTTGTGGCTCTTCTGCAATTCACATGTTCTATCACAGGCCAGCTGGGGCTAGAGGGAGATCCGAGAGAGAGAGAGACAGAGAGAGAGAGAGAGAGAGAGAGAGAGAGAGAGGAGAGAGAGAGGAACAAGAGAGAGAGAACGAGAACCAGACCTATAGCAGGCAAAGAATAGGTTCCTTTATTCAAAGAACATAGTAAAGGGCCGCCAATAAACCCTTCCACAGAATGAGAGCATCTGCATCAAAGGGTCAAAGGGTGGAGCAACCTAGATTTATTAAACAGTCTTCCTTAGTCCAGGGAGCAACCAGTTGATAAGGCTTGAGCAAGGCCAGGCTGCCAATTTAGGACCAGTTGGCCACTCTAAGGGATTTATGGCTTTCCCTAATGAGGTTTGTGGCTCTTCTGCAATTCACACATTCTATCAGATATAATAATATTTTTTTTCTTTTCTTTATAGTCGTTTATTTTATGTGTATGTGTGTAGTTCACATGTACATAGCATACATGTGGAAGTCATAGGACAACCTTTAGGCTCAGTTCTCTACTTCTTCCATGTAGGTTCCCAACTCAGGTCCTTAGGCTTCGCTCCAGTCACTTTTACCCTCTGAGTCATATTTTTAAATATTTATTTGTCTTAAAACTGACAGAGACTCCCAAGCCCAGACTATCCTGAGTCATAATGAATGGAAAAGACTCTTCCCTGTGATCCTTCTTCAGAGACAGTCCAAGTCAGTGAGAAGGGAAACAGCTTGCCAAAAACTGTCCTCTTTATGCTCTTCCTTTTAAAAAATAGGCCACTGTGAAAAGAAAAAGAAAAGAAAAGAAAAAAAGGCCAGTGTGCATGTGGGATGTCCCTTCCTTCTCAGGTGGTGGAGTCCTGTCTGGAGGGTGTCTGTAAGCCAGACCCCGGAATATACCAGCTGTGCCTGGAGCGGCTTGGCCTACAGCCCTCGGAGTCCATTTTCCTTGATGATCTGGGATCAAATCTAAAAGCTGCTGCCAGCCTGGGCATTCATACCATTAAGGTAATTGTGACTGTCTCTGAACCCACTACTGTATATCAAGCATTAGTGAACACAAGCATGTCTGAGCTGGTTTCTGTTGTTGTTGTTTTTTGTTTTTAAATTTTATTTTACTTTATGTATATGAGCGTTTTGCCTGCACATTTTGAAGTGCACTACATGTGTGCATTGCTCATAGAGACCAGAAGAGAGCATCATATCCCCTGGAACAGGAGCTACAGATGGTTGTCCTGTTAGCCACCATGTTGGTGCTGGAAGCTGAATGTGGGTCTTCTGCAAAATCAGTTGATGCTTGCAATTGCTGAGCCATCTCTCCAGCCCCAGGACTTTGTGTGTGTGTGTGTGTGTGTGTGTGTGTGTGTGTGTGTGTGTGTGTGTGTATGTGTTAATAGTAGCAATAGTTTTTTTTATTTTAATATACTTTAGGAAACAATATATATAGCTGAGCTTCCCTCCCATTTCTGAGTAACCACAGGAAGCTCCAGTTACACAAAGCTAGCATTTTGTGATGGCTAAGACCAGCAGTCAGCACCAGACTTGAACAGTTAGTACAACACAAATATCTTCAAAATGGAAATGTCATAATAGCAAGACAGGTAAACCAGGTTTAACAAAAGACACCACTTGGGAAGTGACTTCATCATTCTTGTTGAATTCACATTACATTAAATATCTTTTACACAATTTAATATTAATAGGCTTTAAACAAAAGTTTTTTGTTTGTTTCTTGAAACAGGATCTTCTTTAGCTGCAGCTGACCTAGAATGCTCCATATAGACTAGGCTAGCCTCATCTCACAGAGATCCACCTGTCTGTGCCTCCCCAGTGCTGGGACTAAAGGTGTGCACCACATTGCCCAGCTGGGGCTATCCTTTCATGGCCTGTGGTTATAGCTTTCCTTGGTGATGTTCCCTGACCTTTGGCTAGTCATCCTACTTGTTAATTATGAAACCTGTGACTAGCTACATACGTTTACAGTATAGGAAAGAGGTGATGTGAGACAAGAAGCCTTTGATTAACAAACTGTCAGAGCGATGCTTTTCTAGGCGGGGCCCTGGAACTACCAGTCACATGGCCACTTCAGGTCATGGTTATGAGCACAGAGACCATGTGAAGGGTGGTGGTTCCAGGCAATTTTTCCTCATCTGGGTTTTTACTGTTAAACTCATAGGCCATAGAAACAGAGCGTACACTCCAGGATTCTGTCTCTGTGCAGGAGTGAGAAGAACTTTTTTGTTTATTCTTTCAGACAAAGTCTCCTATGTAGCCCAGGCTGGCCTTGTACCCTCAATCCTCCTACCTTAGCTTCCCAGATTACAGGTCTGTGCCACCATGCTTGGCTTGCTGTGAACTCTGCAGTTGTACTCTCCTATACACATAGATGAGCCAGTGAAAGTAGGAATTCCTTAGAAGAGGAAACTCTTTTTATAACATATTTTTTAATTAATGTTTTTTAAAAAAATCTATTACTTTTATTTTATGTATGTGAATATATTGCCTGCATGTATGTAAGTGTACCTGTGTCATGCAGTACCCATGGAGGTTGGAAGAGGGTGTCAGATCCCTTGGAACTGGAGTTATGATGGTTGTTAGCCACCATATGAGTGCTAGGAATCCAACCCAGGTCTTCTGCAAGAGCAGCCAGTGCTCTTAACTGCTGAACCATCTCTTTAGCCCCTTTTAAAATATTTAATTTATTGGGGTTTTTTTGTTGGTTTTTTTTTTTTTTTTTTCGGTCTTTTTGAGACAGGGTCTCCCTGTAGCCCCAGCTGGCCTGGAACTCACTATGGAGACCAGGCTGGCCTTGAACTCACAGAGATCTGCCTGCCTCTGCCTACCAAGTGCTGGGATTAAAGGCATGTGCCACCACGCCCAGCAGTTTATTGTTTTTATTTTAATATGTATTGAGTATATTGTCTGCACATGTGTAAGTGCACCCGTGTTGCGCAGTGCCTGCGGAGGTCAGAAGAGGACATTGGATCCCCTGAAGCTGGAGTTATAGATGGTTATTAGCCACCATGTGGGTACTTGCAATTGAAACTAGGTCCTCTGCAAGAGCAGCCAGTGCTCTTTTTTTTTTGGTCTTTTTGAGACAGGGTCCCCCTATAGCCCCAGCTGGTTTAGAACTCAATATTGACTAGACTGACCTTGAACTCACAGAGATCTACCTGCCTCTGCCTCCCAGGTGCTGGGATTAAAGGCATGTGCCTCAGCCAGTGCTCTTAACCACTGAGCCATCTCTCCAGTCCCAAGAGAGAGGAAATTCTGTTTCCCCATAGCTGAGTCTTTTGGCTCCAGTGGCCTTCATCTGAGCAATGACTCCACAGGCATTTCCCTCTAAGGCATGACCCTCAGAGTCGGGCAGAGTGAGGGTCTGGGTTGATAGGCACACAGTAGGTTTTTTTGTTTGTTTGTTTTTTCTGAAAGCAGGTTGAAGACCCAGAGACTGCAGTGAAAGAATTAGAATCTCTTCTGGGTTTTCCCTTGCATGTGGGTGTTCCCAACACTCATCCTGTGAGGAAGTCAATGGAGATTCCAAAAGACGCCTTGGAAAAGTACCTCAAGGACTTGCTGGGGACTGGAGCCACTGGTATGAAGGGCCTCGTATTTGGGGACTCTATCTAAAGTAAAGCTTTTGGTCTGGTTCTCACTTTCCAATTTTGATAGAATATGCTGACAACAAAGAGGCAATGTACTACAGCCAGTGGGCCTCGTGAATCTGATAGCTTTTGGGAAAAAAGTATTAACTTCTCTTATTATAGATCCTTAAAAGTGACTGCCCCCATGCTCCACTTCAGTGTTTGGTATGGCAGCTATTGCCTGTGAATGGGCACTGAGGAGGAGGGGAACTTGGGGACTGCAGTATGTGCTTGGGGTGTTTGAGTGTTTCTGACTTTCTGAGGTAATAGCCTGTTTTAAAAGATGACTTAGTGGGGCCGGGTGTGATTGGAGAGATGACTCAGCACTCACTTGGCAACTCCAGTTCCAGGGATCTGGCATCCTCTTCTGGCCTCTGCAGGCATTACACAGGTGCACTTACACACATTCAGGGAAAACACTCATACATCATATACACTAAAAAATTAGTTAATTGGGGCTGGAGAGATGGCTCAGTGGTTAAGAACACTGAATGTTCTTGCAGAAGACCCAGGTTCAAATCCCAGTACCCACATGGCAGCTAACAACTGTCTTAACTCCAGTTCTAGGGTATCTGACGCCCTCTTCTGACCTCCGTGGGCATTGCATAGCATAGGTGCACTTCCATACAGGCAGGAAATACATACATACACATAAAATAAAAATAATAAATAAAATATGTTTTTAATTAATTAATTAATTGAAAAAAAAGATGACAAGCCCGGCATGGTGGTGCATGCCTTTAATCTCAGTACCAGGGAGGCAGAGGTAGGCAGATCTCTGAAATGAGTGAGTTCCAGGCCAGCGGGGGCTACAGGGAGACCCTGTCTCAAAAATTATTTATAATAGTTGTCTGATTTTAGGGACTGGGGGACTGGGAATATAGCTCAACGATGGAGTCTGTACCTAGCATGCGTGAGGCCCTCAGTTCTGTCCCCAGTACTGCCAAAAAAATCTGCATGATTTAAAAAGTGGTAAATCGGGGTTGGAGAGATGGCTCAGCAGTTAAGAGCAGTGACTGCTCTTCCAGAGGACCCGGGTTTAGTTCCCAGCGCTCACATGGCATCTAACAACCAACCATCTGTAACCCCAGTAAAGGGCATCTGATGCCCTCTTGTCCCCATGGGCATTGCACAACACGGGTACACTTTTATTAATGCAAGCAAAATACTCATGCACATACAATAAAAGTAAATAAATAAGGCCGGGCCCAGCACTTGGGAGGCAGAGGCAGGCAGATCTCTGTGAGTTCAAGGCCAGCCTGGTCTACATAGTGAGTTCCAGGACAGCTGGGGCTACAGGGAGACCCTGTCTCAAAAAGACAAAAAAAAAAAAAAAAAAAAAAAAAAGTAAATAAAAAAAGATCAAAAATAGCAAGTTGATTCCATCTCTCCAGAGGTCCCTCTCTTGTTCTTTGCATTTTACCCTCTGAAAGTAGGCACCTTATGAGCTTCTAAAGGATTTTCCACCTGGTAACAGTTTTGCCTCACCCACTTGATCCTTGGAAGGCTGTTATTTATAGAGTTTCATGTTGTCATATTTCCCAGCCATGGAATCTTGGAAGCAAATCCACAAAGTGAAGGGCGTGTCATGGCCAGGCCAACCACCTCAGGCTGACCCCTTCTTGCCCTTTCTCCTGGCCAAGTGTCACAAATAGCACTTTAAAGCCAAGGATTAATTAGGTCTGACTCCCTCAGGAACCTGCAAAGGAGCCACAGGATTTAGCCCAGAGGGTGGGAAAGTATGTCTCCCGAAGGCAGCTTTGGCTCCAGCCTGGGCATAGCTCCTGTCAGCTGTCATGTCACCGTCAGGTACAGTTTGGTGGAATATGGCGAGGGATGCACAAAGGCACTTTTCATCTTCGATGTAAAGTTCCATGGGGCCAGATGGGTTGCCATGACTGCTGGGGCTGATAAACAGAACCAAAGTGCATCTGTTTCATGGAGCAGGAGTTAGCAAGGAGCTGTACACCCGTATACAAAGAGGAGACTCTGGTATAAAGGAAGTGTCTTTTGCTGTCCTGTAGTGGTGGCATGTGATTCTGGACTGGACCTGGCAGGGTGTGTATTGGAGCTCCACTGCTGTGGTACCTGGGGAGGAGGGCCTTCTCTTGCTCTGCATCCTACATGAAGATTCTCTGTATTCCAGAGGCTAAACTCACTAGGAAGGAGGAGTATCTGTCGGGATCTGGGTTCTGGGACCCTTTTGAGTGTTCTGTATTTTCCATCTTTCAGGCCCCCTGGAGCTCCTTCAGTTTGACCATGGACAGTCAAATCCAACTTACTTTATCAGGCTGGCAGATCATCAGCTGGTTCTGAGGAAGAAACCCCCAGGGGCCCTCCTCCCATCTGCCCATGCCATAGAGAGGGAGTTCAGGTAAATTCTCAAAGTCCCAGGTACTTCCCCAGCTGGTCTCCACAGCTCACAAGTTCAGTCCTAAAACCGTTAAGTCAGCTTCTGTGGAAGTGCCCTAAGCCTTTTTTTTTTTTTGAGATAGGGTCTCACTGTGTAGCCTTGAGTGGCCTGGAACTCGATAGGTAGAGCAGGTTAATCTTGAACTCACAGAGATCCTCCTGCTTCTGCATCCTGAGTGCTACCATACCCACTGCCCT